GATCACATATCTGTGGGAAAGCTGTGGTGGCTGCAACTTTGAACAATTGTAAGTCTTCTTATTCAGTGCTAAGTGAGGATTACTAATACTGCATTAAAGAGTCAGTAAATGTAGCTCTGAATACTGCCAATGAGTGGCCACAACCAAATGTGATTTCTGTTGTAACACTGTAAATAATAAACAATAAAAACTCATTATCATTCAGGATTGATTTAATTTCATTGAAACCTTCCATACAACAGATTTTTAGAGTAATCTATAATATCTTGATTATCTTATAGGCTCCATTTAGCATGAAAAAAAGGATTAAAATGCAATATTCCAGCAATTACATACTTGAACTTATATGGCATAGACAAAAAAAATCATTTGTTTGGTTCATTAAAGTAGTTTTTTCAATCTATACTCTTCATAACATTGCTTATTTCAGAACGAATAGTGTAATAGGTGGGTAGGTGTATTTTCAACAATACATTCATAAAATGCTGCATAAAGCAATCAAAAGGCAGTTTTCCCAATTACTGAATCAAAATATCCAATACAATATATCAAGACAATTTAGTGCCCCACATATTTTTCTACACTGTGTGAGACTAATAACATAGGTATAAAGGCAACAGGCCTGTCACATTTTAGAAGACTTGCTGTCCAGTGCTGAAATCCCCATCACTGCCTTTTCTAAAGTCTTCTTGTATCATCAAATATGATTATGACAACTTATTAGCAAAGACATTAGCAAAGATAGAACACGGTATTTATTATTTATATAGCTGTAAGTCCTCATTTCTCATTAATGCTTGCACAAAAATATTTGAATCATAATTGTGATAAATTTTGAGGTAATATTATCTAAATATTTCTTTCACATTTATCTTCTCTTCTGCTTCCTTTATAGTTCCTTCTATTTCTTTATGTGTCTACCAAATAAATCTCAACAACATCTTCACTTACTGGAGAATACTAAAAGCTGATACAGTATCCTGGAAAAAAATAAAATAGCTTACTGAAAAGAGTTCCCTATGGATTTATATTTTTGCAACTAAGTTCCTTTCTCAGTCAAGAACTTAATTTGCTCCCAATCGTGTACTCAATTTGTAGTCTGAATCTAAAAACACTTAAGTAGAATAAATCAAAGAACAAGTATTTAAATCTGCATTTAAATATACAACTGCTATTGATAGTAACTGTAATATTATATGCTTAACAATTCCCAGCACTACTATTGAATGACTTGCTGTTCAATCCATGCTGCATAGTACCTTGTTGTGGTTATATCACTAATATAGCAATAGTAATAGTGAATTTTAAAAAATGTGTAACTGATTCTCTTGTAAAATAGATGGAACAAAAAAATTGCAACATTGCAAGTAATCTCGATAGCATTTCTTTTCAACTTTTTTTAAAAAAAATCAGTAGTTGTCAGACACTAGTCATCTTCTAAAAACTAACCTTTATAAAACTGTCTGCAGAAAAACACAAAATTTTATACTCAGATATGAATGCAGTCCTTATTGTCTTTTCTACTGTCAACTTTATTGGTACATATGTAGATTTCAATCAATCTTATACATCTGCAAACACTGAATATGGGCAAGGGAAACTATTCCAAATATATTTATAAGCTTTTGCTAAATGAAAAAAGTTGATGTTTTAAAATAATGTTATCAGTTTTCCATTATTATGAAAACGAGGTATTCACATTACTGTGAACAACTACATTTTCTCCTCCACCATTACATAGTGCACTTTTTTTTTTACCAGCACAGATTAAGTGCAACTCTTTCTTGTAGATATGGCTATAATAAATAGTTAACAACTGATTTCCACAAACCTCTCTGAAAGCCATAGCTTTTAATAAACATGCCATGCTCTGTGGTCACTTAAATAAATCCTCTAGGTTTCTGGAGGACTTTTATGGTTCTCTCAAAATTACAAAAAAGTAGATGTTTTTGCTGGAATATGAAATGATCACAAATGATAATTTCAGACAGAGATCAATTCAACTGTGAAAGGTTTTTTTTTTTTTTACAAAGATAAATTTATCATAAAGCTGAATATTGTAAGAAGTTATCAAAGGACAAAATTAATAATTTTACAAATAATGTACCTGTTTTGAAGATTTAAACCTGACAAAGATATTTGTCAATTTGCACCTTTATTTAGACTGGTAATTCTCCAATTACCCTTCAACAAGCTTGAAGACTACAAATAGAATTACCTCAGATAATAGGAAATAGGTATCTATCCTAAATAATATGGCTTTAGAACTATGGTGTACGGAGCCTGCAAAGTGACTCTATTTCTAGAAAAATTGAGTGTGCTGTCCCGCAGATGTCTTAATGGTTTTTAATGATTTTTCTGTTGTTGTTTTTTTACTTTTGTATACTCCCAGAATCACACATGTAAGATGAGAGGCTATCTGAATTTAATAAATAAATAAAATTAGGTCACAAATCAATATCTTATATTCTGCATGCTATGTTCTGAAAAACAAGAAAAGATTTGTCCAAAAAGTGAGGGACACAATAAGTACTGTCCTCTGAGTTTAAATCTTGTTAATTCTTGTGCATTAGATTTACATTCTGTCTTTTTTTTCTAGAAGCTCAGGGTAGAATTAACAGATATCTTCCCTCCTTTTATCCCCATAATTACCCTGTGAGATGGGCTGAACCGAGAGAATTTGAAGCCACCAATGAGCTTCCATAGCTAAGGATGGATTTAAGCCCAAATCACCCAGTGTAATTTCTTATGGGTGAGGAGAGGGTGAAGCCTATTATGTACACATTAAATATTTAATTTAAAGAAAGTTAGTTAGATTTGTTTATCATCAAATTCCCGAGGCAAGTTCTATCATTTTCCATTATTCTGCATTTTTGGACGAGATAATTGAGCAAGCAAATCCCCACTTTAATATCTTACCCATTTAAGGATACAGTACAAGAAAGTTCAGAGACCTGCAAGTGTTTCTTTCAGGTTCACAACTGGTAACTCTTTTTGTGGAAGTCTTTCCATTAATGTTTATCTCTAAGATAAAGTACATGTAAGCCTAGAATTCTAAAGCAGAGAGTTCAAGAATGAGGCAGAAAAGGGGAGATTGGAAAGCGAACAAAGATGAGTTCCAAAAATGGAAAAAAGGAGTCAAACTATTTTTCCTCCTAGCACTACCATTTTAAGAGCAGACAAAATTTATTAACTGTATTTTAATTGTACCATAACTAAAATAAATGCTGTGACACACTTGGACAAATGTCCTATTAGCACAAAATAAGAACTCTTGGAGTCTTATAACAAAGATTAATAGATGTGCTAAATTGCAGTTTCCTGACTTGTTCAATTCAGCAAATGTTCTCATACTACAAAATCTGAAAAAGCATACATTTATTCCAATAAAACAATTTAAAAGAGAATGCTATTGAACATTTAAATTAGCAAGTTATTATTTATTTCCATTAAACATTCAGGAAGATACAGTAAGCAACTTAAAAAGAAAATAAAAAAGAAGAAAAAAAAACACAGATGATAAATTAGGGATTTAGAGATGTCAGGGAGGACATAATTTTCCAACAAAACATTTGCTACTTATAAATAACTAAATGTGTTATATTGTTTTAGCAGACTTAAAATTCATAGTGAAACTTTAAATTCAGAATGAATATTGGGAATTCTGGTCCACCCAGTATACATCACTCGATAAAAGTAGCAGAGGGTTGCAGGAGGCTATCCTGGCCAAAAATGGGGCCATGCCTACCCTGTTCCGGCCATGCCACCTGGCACCCTGAGATCAAACACAACTCTGATGCGTCCCTCAATGAAATAGAATTTGACTCCTCTGGCCATACCTATATCTTAGTTAACCATTCTTCCTCAGAGGGTATCAAACAACCCTGCCAGTAAAAAGGATATAATATCCTTGCAGCACTGCACTCACTGAAGCATTTCTGAAGCTATTCCACCCCACCACATTCATTTGTATTACATGCAGATATTGTCACCTGGCCATGCAAGTACTTGATGTAATGGCAAAAATACAGAAAACAAAAAAATGAGGAAATAACCAAGTATTTGGCATATTTTTCATCAGGACTAATTTATTTATTTAATTTATTTATTTGCCGCCTATCTCACCTTGATATAAAGTATGTTTATTGTGCTTACTATTACCACTCTGCATGAACGGAGACAAATCCCAATCCTCATACTGGGCTCCAGCCAAGAAATATAAATCACATAGCATATTGTCACAGAATTATTTTTTTTAATTTCATGATTTTACTGGGAAATTAATGAAGATATCAATAAGAAAAAGTGGTTGCGTTCATAAAATATTAGTCAATAACCAAAGACTTGAGCAAATTTTCTTTCATTTCCAAGCAAGATACCTTACTAGCTATAAGGGAAAGTCTTGTTTCAACAACAGAACACATATTTCTACTGCATATAGAAAGCAATTCCAAAGTCTAATGCAGACACTGTCTGGATGGGGGAATAAGATGTATCATCTCTGTAATTCATAGATATTGAGGAGTGGCCTACTTACAATGTATCAGTAGTAGCTCACTGTTATTTCATTTACTTATTATTTAGTTATTAGGATAGCTGTTTAGATTATGACCAATGACCATCCCAACAAAAAAAATAGGTCAGTATCCCATGTATTTTTCCATTAGGAAGGAACCAGATTAATCTATGAACACTTGAAGCCCAACATGGAGCTCAATCTCTTTGAGTCAATGGGACAAAAAGGAACATTCAATGAATACCATTTAAGGAAAATACAGGCTGATTACAGCTGTGGGTTCAGTTTTAAAAGACTTTAAAATGGAACTGGCAAAGGAAATTGCATGCTTGACTAGGACTGTCACTTACAAAAATCATCATATTGACTTTTTCCATTAAAAGTCAGAGAGGCTTTATACTATCCAAACGATTTATATAAACAATGAGAAATATAATAAAATATTATGAAACTAAGATTACTATATATGAGATACAGCACTCACTGTTCAATTCGAGGAGAGAGGTACAATTTGGGAAAAACCTGAGTAGCTTCTGTATCTTCAAAACTGACTGAAAGAAGAGCAACATCTTCTCCAGGGTCTTCATTTGCATCCTAAAAACATACACAGAAAGAAAAAATAAAATAATTGTAATAGCAATCATAAGATTGACCATGTGAAAGATTAGAAGGCCTAGCTGAAAAGGTTGACAATCTGCTACTTTGGTCCTTTTAAAACTGGCTAGAATATAAAACCATATAAATAGGAAGAAAAAAGTACTGCAGGATACGTTCAGTGCCTGGAGGTAAAATAATAAAAGCAGAAAACAAACAAACAAATCTAAGCTATATGATTTTTCCAAAAGAATATTTTCTAGGATGTTAATTACCGTATTTATCGGCGTATAACACGCACAGGCGTATAACACGCATCTTCATTTTAAGAGGGAAATTTCAGGAAAAAAATTTAAATTTCTAAATAAAAACTTTGAAGCAAAATAAGGGTAGCTCAGAACTTGCCCTCCGCTCGCACCGCCCGGCCTCCGCTTGCCCTCCGCTCGC